ACAGAGAGAGACGGACAATTGAGTTAAGCGTGGTAGTAAGTAAGTGCGTGAATCGTTCCTGTGAATTATAACGTGTTTTTATAAAAGTAGTTAAGTTAAATTGACTGTGGAAATTAAGTGTGTTGCAAAGTTGAATTGAGAAAGAATAAACGAGTTTTATTTAAGAAAGGACTTGATTCGCTGAAGTTTTTCAGAAGGAATTTTTACGGGAAATTAACAAACAACTAGAGATGTAACAATTGCATTGCGCAGGCTAAAGGTCACCCTTTGTTCTCCTGAAGAAGAATAGTCAACTATTCGAATTTTGGGTCTTATTTTAAGTTTATATTCTACTCAAATATACTTTAACAAACGTTTTTCAGGGCTCTTTGAGCAAAATCTTTCTACCCAAACTGCAACAATTTATTGTTTTAAAATATTTTCAAAAACAACTGTCATTGGAAAACACTTCAATCAATGATGCAAATTATTCATCATATAAATCAATACAACGTTATTTAATGAAAGCAAATAAACTTGGTAACACAACTCGTTTTCACTGATTTGGGTACAAAGTTATGAGAAATACTAAGTTTCATACAAATGAAATCTGCTAAAATATTCAACCTATCCATCTGTGGATTGGTTGCATATTAATCTACTTAAGATTAGGTCGATGTCTTACCTCCCCTGAAGCCACAGCTTCTCCTGGAATAAAGAGTTCTGGATAAACATTTTTCAGATACCAATCAAAATTTCTACATTTAAGTTGCTTTCTTAGCTCTTTTCTTGAGCTTACATCTCCAAAGTCACCCTGCAAGAAGCATAACAAATAACATTTATTTTCTGAACAAAACTAAACCATTATTTGTTTATTTTTTGAATTTCGCGCAAAGCTACATGAGGGCTATCTGCGCTAGTCGTCCCTAATTTAGCAGTGTAAGACTAGAGGGAAGGCAGCTAGTCATCACCACCCACCGCCAACTCTTGGGCTGCTCTTTTACCAACGAATAGTGGGATTGACTGTAACATTATAACGCCCCCACGACTGAAAGGGCGAGCATGTTTGGTGGGACGGGGAACTAAGCCATATTAGAATAAAATAACACAGATGAAAATATTTTATCATTATGTGAATCTTTATTTAACAGTTTATTTTGTTCTTACATGCTGAGGTGTCATCAGCATTTTGATAGCATGGGCTAAAATTCTTGTAAAATCATAACTCCATAATTTTAAATCAATATATTATATTTATTCTCACCGTGAGCAGCTAAATGTATGATGAAGATCATACATAAAATATAGATATCTACAACAACTAACAGTATAATTATGTTACTAACCAGGTCATAGCCTATCCTCTGATAGTAATATTTAGCGTAGTCATCAAGCCACACCTCTGCCAAACGAACCGAGTTTCGCTTCAATACATTTACTCCAGATCTCCACTTGTAGGGGCTTCTCTTCCTGAAGATATGACCCACATGAGAGCAAGGTACTATTTCCAATGTTCCATGACACATCCACGTCTGTAGTAGTATAAAAGGAAGGTGCAATAAGGTAATATCTATAATATTTCATGAGTATCTATATATATATATATATGTATATATAAAGATGAAATGTGTGTTTGTTTGTTTGTACCATAACTCCTCCAAGTCTATCTGGCAAATCTCAACCAAAATTTAAGTGTAAACACGATGAACTATGAGAAATGTCCTAAGGGGAGGTCAAAATTGAACTTAACCCTATTTCTTTTTTGTAAAGTGTGTTGGTTAATAACTCCAAGCCTATTGAATCAATCTCAAACAATCTTGGTAAGTTGATGCTTTAGACAATTTTGAATATTCTAAAGGGATTCAAGGTCAAAGTATAAACATTGCCTGATTGTTTCTCAAACAACCATGCTTTTCTCATAGTCGATGAGATGTAGGGTGTTCGAGGGTGGGATCACCTCAGAATCTATTTGTTGGTAGTTAGAAAGCAAACTGCAAGTGTTTATGAAGAGGCTTTGTTATAATTTTAAAATTTTGAGATAAAGTTTATGCTCAAGTTATTACTTTTAAATATATGATTGTTGTTAAACTTGCATTGTTTTAATTAAGTTTAAATATTCCTCATCAGGTGTTTCAACTTATAGTATATATAAGAATTGTTCAGGGGTAATTAGTACGCCTCACATCAGTCAACTATTTCAACAAACATGTGCCAGAAGTTAAGGTGATGATTTAAAATATAACCCTGATATTCTACTACCACAAACTAGAATGATCAAACTGGAGTAGCTGAAAACCTCATTAGATTAGTAAAAATCTCAAATATTTCCCTAAATATGTTAATTTACAACTTCTATTTCTGTAGATCTTCCCGCTATGTTGAAAACAGATTACTTTATAATCTATGTTAAGTCGGAATCACACACCAATTCTTTATAGATATGATAAAAGCCACCAAACAAAAACTATTTCATCAATTACTAGATACTACTAATATTCTGACACAAGAATACATATTAAACTATTTACACGACACAAAATGGGCATCATATGCATTTTAAGATTCTTATTAGTCATAAAACGTTAGCATTAAGTCATATTCCACCAAATATTTCATTCTACAGACCCTTCACAGACAGGAGATATCCTAGGAATCAAATAAACTGTTTTATTTATAGTGCTCTTGAATTTACTACTGATAAGTTTAGAGGGTGTACTCCCAATCTGAAACAACCATACACATGTTAACTAAAGACTATAAAGTTTGATTTCCTGGTCTCTGTACTTCTCCAACAAAGTTTAAGCCTTCTATGCTCTTTCACTTCACCAATAAAGTTTGAGTCTGCTAGACTTTAACACATCGTTGAAAGTTGATTTTTATACATAAAGTTTAATTCATCTTAAAGCTTGCATGCAATTCAATTGGTCTAATCAATTTTTAAAAGCTAAGATGTAATCATGAAGTCAGTCATTTTTTAATTTTCCTTCAAAATGTGTTTCCTTAAATTCAGATGTTTTTCATTACTTTTTATATCATAATAAACAGTTAATATACTGTATGTAGCTTTTTTTCTTTTAAAGGGAATACTTGAAAAGCCCATTCATTTTGGGACTGAGAATGTTCCACATGCCATCAAATTAAACTATATGACTGCAGAGTTCTGTACAAAGCTATGCTATAGAAAATTAGTCAATTGGTATTCAAATGTTTATACAGCTGCCTAAACAGAAATTACTTTAATCCTGCCAAAGTTTTCTGACAATGTTTCAAGATTGCAGAAAAGTATTTATCATGTACATTAACCCTAGAATTGTCAATTTGGTTTACATACTCCCTACTGGCTTTTTAAACTATTTATACAACAAATTGATTGCAAGTCTATGACTTTGTTGGTTATAGGGCCAATAGTAACATGCAAGTAACACAAAATAATTTAAACAAAAATAAAATCAATATTGTAATTAATCCCACTAATTACAACTGGCATCGATATAGACCCATATGTATTTACACAAAAATGGGCCATTTTATCCTATATTTTTTAATCAGTTCTCCACACTGAATGATATCCGGCAAAAAATACAAAATTATTCAATATAATAAAATATACAGTAATATATTTAGTCGCCTTTCACATGTATAAAATTAAACTTAAATTAAAAAGGCTAACACTTCTAAGGTGGAATTCATTCCAGTTTCAACATTTTTCTGAATCTCTAATTATTTCTAAGTGAGTAAAATGAGTTATAGGGCCAAAAATACGGTAGCTACAAATATCATTGACACTTCTGAAGATTACTTGGAGCACAATAGTGATGACCACGTGACATCAAGTATTGAAAATTAATAATATTTATCCATTAATGAAAATGCTAGTTGTTCCATCCCATGCACAACTATGTTATTGACAATAGCCACAACTAGCTGACTAACAACATTGAGTAATCCTGGAAACTGTTTATTAAAACAAAAACAAATTATACAAAACAATTCATCTACACTGGACAAGTGACATTCACATGCTGAGTGGCAAATCCAATCAGACTCAAGCAAATTAAAACTTATATACTGCAGAACTGATAGTAATGATAAAACTACTAGCTCTCCACCTACATTAGCAGTTAAGTATTTATATATCATATCTCAGCATATGTTAATATTACATATTTATACTTATTAACATAACACTGTGCCACAAGCTAACAAATGATATACACCTTATACAAAGAATACCACTGTTGAGTTACATCATACGCTGTAGTTTAAGCTTAGACAAGATGATAGCACAAAATGTAAGTAGGAAACCTGTAAGTTATTATTAACAGAAGTTATACATGTGTGTGTGTATATAATAAGTGATTATGTGTCAATGTGCATCTGAAGGAAGAAATATTGATATCTTATTCCTCACTGGTGCTGTAAGCTCAGATGACAATGAGACTGATAATGAGATATGACGACAGTGAAGAAGAAATGGAAATGTATTTATCAAAAACTAAAAAAGTGGACCAGTTTACATTACTAAGACAGTAGCCAACTGGGAGAAGATCACCTAAAAATATTTCCAACTAAATATGCTAGAAGAAAAGCTAGCATACAATGTATTCGTGAAGAAAATACTGAAGTGGTCATGCAAGGATGGAGAAATTGTACTTATTGGAAAATTAAACATTTGGATTCTAAATAATTGTAATGTTTCTTTGTCATTATAATGATGTATGGTGTTTATAATCAAAGAGAAAAGCAATTAGATAGTTTTTGAATCATGACAATGTAGACCAATTTTTTTACATAAGCAATAGCATATACCAAATTTCAAATTTTAATACACTTTTGATTTGTGAATAGTGTAGAACATAGAAGAAATCTATCCTATAAAAAACACCTTCATTAAATACTTGCAGACTTTTCTGAAATGCTATATTATGTACAAAATAAGAACATCGATGAGCAACAAATCACATACTATGGTAGTATTCAAACAATATATTCCAAGCAAACCTGGAAAACATGCCATCATATTTGGTCTTGTTGTGATAGTAACATATCCCATATTCATTATGTGCAAGTATATACAGGAAAAAATGAAGGATAAGAAAAAAAAAAAAAGACCAACAACAACGAGAGAGCGGGTTGTAGCAGACATAATTCAAGAGTCAGAAAACAATGAATGTAATGCAATTCGTGATAAATTATTCTTTATTTGTTTGAAGTTGGCCAATAAATTACTGTACATATGACTAATAATGCTTAGTTACAATAACAGCAAATAGTGTTGAACTGTCATCTGAATTACTTCATAAAGTGATGTGATAAATTCTCAACTAAATTTACTTCGACTGAATTTGCTGCCCTAACATCATACTGTCTGGTGAAGGAAAAATTAGTTGTGCTGCTAAAAATTAGGTATGAAAAACTAGAAACTGACAATAATATAGCAGCCAGGAAAACAAGAAACACTGATTATTCTAAATTACCTTACCAAAAGTGTAATGGATACTGCTGCCAAATACTAAAAGACTATGCACCTAAATAAAAAATATGGAGCTGACCAGTAGCTATTTTTTTTACAACATGTCATATATATTGTTGCGTCAGCGAGTCACATGACCACCGTGACGCAACGGTTCTAGAACTATCATGTACTTTGGCGAATGTTCAAGTTCTAACTAGAAATAGGGTACGCTGGTATATAAAAG